CTCTGATAGGTCTTTTACAACATTTTCAACAGCCTCCACTTTCTCGGGAGACTACCTATGCCTACGTTGTACTAATGCCCTAGTGGAGGGATCTATGGTCAGCTGGTGGTAAGTGACATCGGGGTTCAGTTCGGGCATCTCTGCGGCGCTCCACGCAAACAAGTCAGCATTCTCCCTGAGGCGGGCTTTCAATTGCTTCCTCGCAAGGTCGGAGAGTCCAATGTCAATCTTTACTCCTTTATCTGGGTCATTGCCGAGGAGGATGACTTCAAATTTTCCATCCAGAGTAGGGCGCATAGGATGGGGAGGCTCCTCGTTGTCTTCTGGTGTTGCAAGTCGGGCTTCCCTTTCCTTCTTCCTCTACACCTTTAGGCCGTCTTTAGTGAAGTGATTGTCAAGGTCGATTGGTCAATGTGAGGTATTAGCTTTGGTTCCTTCGAGCTAATGGGTCGCATTGGCTTGTCGATTGTCTTGGATGATATGTTGATGGAGCCCATTGAGAGTGTAATACTTCATCTTCAGGTGGACCATGGAGGCACAACGATCAATTCAACCAGAGTTCGCCTCTTCGTGATGCACTGGTATAGATACGGATAGTCTATCACCAGAAATTGGGTATTTACCGCTCTGACGGTCTCAACTGCTCTGAAGGTAATGATTAGCTCGACATAGCCCACAGTCTTGTGGTCGCCCCGTTGAAGCCTTGCAAGTCAGATCCCACGTAGGGCGTCATATGTGTTTTGTCGAGCTGTAGATTCTTGAATAGGTGAGAGTACATGATGTCAACTGAGCTTTCTTGGTCGACCAAAATGCGGCGTACATCAAAGTTTGCCATACATGCTCTTACGAGCAGGGGAATGCTGGAGTTGGAGGAGCCGCCGGGAAGCTCCTCTTGGTAGAATATGATGGGGTTTGAGCTTCCTCGACATCTTTCGAGGGTAACGTTTTGGCTCGAGCTCGCATTGAAAGTTCCTCGAAGTTTTGTTTCACCGAACCTCCGGTGACGTTGTTGAATCCTCCACCAGATATGACCATGACGATGGGGAAAGACTTCCACGGACTGTGTGTTATAGTGTAGAGAGGAAAATCGGCCTCGCTAGAGACGAAGAAGTCCTCAGACCGGGAGACGCTCATGACGACGTGGAGGTTGGAGAGGTTGGTATTTCCTCCTAGACCTTCTTTTCTTCACGGATGTCTTTCCGAGGAGCTTCCCTCTTTTTGTATTACTTCAGGTGCTTGTCCCTGATGAGGATCTCAATCGCATCTTTGAGGTGGATGCATTATTCAGTGACATGTAGTGGCTCTTGTGGAACCGGTAGTGCTTGGTCTTATCAGCATTAGGTTTGGCAGGCGTCTGCTTGGGAAAGCGAACTCTTGCTTGGAAAAATTCAGAGTTTTGGCACTCTGACAAAACGTGCTCGCAGGAAGCGATTGAGGAAGTGTACCCCGTGAAACGGCCAGCATGCCCCCTGGGTTCCCTAGGCTCATGGGGCTTATCTTCCTTTCTTTTTTCTCCCCCGCGACGAGGCATAGGGGGTCTTCATTCCTTGAGACTCTGGCGTGCTCCTGATATCGTGAGTCCCGAGCATTGTTGGTTGTTTCCTTCTCTTCATGTGTGATATAGAACTGGGCCTTGAGAAGGAGGGAATCTAGTGACATGGGCCTTTCAATGCCCACTGCTTTGACGAAGTCGCTACAGGGGCGCAGTCCTCGCTCGAGCAGGTATCATGTCATGTCATCGGTCGTTGAGACCTGGATGACTTCTCGGTTGAACCTTTCAATGTAAGCTCAGAGAGGTTCGTCTTTCCCTTGGATGATTGCTTTGAGCGATGCTTCGGGCTTAAGATGTCGTCGAAAAGTAGTGAAATGCCTCGAAAATTGGCTCATCAAGTTCTTCCAGGAGGTGATGGACTCCTCCGCAAGGCTTTTGTACCATGTCATGGAACCCTTTCACAGAGTAGTGGGGAACAACCTGCATCTGACTGCGCTTCCGATGTCGCGATAATCGAGAAAGGTGTCATGTTTTCGAGGTGGTCGTTCCATCGTATGTTTCCAAGTTCGATGGTTTTTCCAGTCCGAGGGGAATGGGTGCATCCATGATTTCCCGAGACAGCGGTCCGTAGGGGCGTCCCCATCGCTCCAAATCGGTGATAGCAGTGGAGACTGGCCGCCTTCCCTCGTCAAGGACTGCCATCGTGTCGTGGCGGCAAGTTCTGTGAGCGACCCTTTGGCTTGCGCGGAGGCAAATGGTGGTGCTTTGTTCGACTTTCTGCTCGACTCTTCTTGGTGCCCGGGGAGCGTCGACCCTCGCGGGGAGGAGTCTGATCGCGCTTCTTGGTCACTGGGGGTTATTGCCTCTCTAACGACGAGCGACGTAAAGGTCGTCGTGGCGATAGGCTTCGGGACTCGTATCGCTGGTGTCTCCGTGAGGGAGAGCGTGAACGACAGTCCTTCTCCAGAGCTTTGATCCTCTGGTTTTGGTGGTGGATCAGCATGTTTATCTGATTGATAGCCGCAAATAGAGCTACCATTGTCGGGTCAGCGTCGGTCGGTATCGAAATTGGTTGAAACTTCTCTGGTGTTTAGTTTTGGGTCTCCTGGTTTTTTTGGGGTTTGACGTACATGGCGAGATCTGTGTCGACGTCATCGGAGAAAGGGGAAGCAGTGTGTTCGTCCCTCCTTGTTGGGGTGGTGTCTTTTAAATGTGAGATCCTATGGCCATCGACGTCATTACGGGCAGGGGAGATGACGGTTTCAAGACTGTCGTTCTTGTCGTTAAGACCAACCATGATTGGTTTTGAGTTTCGTTTTGATATTTAGTTTCGAGGAAAGAAATATGGGGAAACGAAGGATTCCCAAAGACGGCGCCACTGATCTTATCGATGATCAGAAAGAGAAATGGTCGGTCCAAACGTCTGTTGATCCAAAGTGTTCCACGGAGGGGGGTTGTACCTGCAAGACACTCTGATGTTGAAGTCGAAAAGAGTGAGAGGTAAGCGATAGTTGAATTGTCAAACTATAATTCCTGACTCTTCTATATAGGAGAGTATTTATAGAGCTCCCAGCACTGGGTCAATGATCTCTATTATGGGCTGAATATCCAAGCCCATAATGGATGACTGCCAGAATTCTCACGTGAAAGTGAGGATGAGCAACAAGTGCTCATTATCCTCGGTCGAGTGTCCCGAACTTCGCAAACAATAGGTTGACCACGTCTGTTACGAAGAGTGTAACGACTCCGAAGTGTATGAAACATGTTGGTGACATGTCCTCAAGTTGGTGACATGTCCTCAAGTGAGGGGCACGTGAGGACCATGTCTTTAGATTAGACCTCAATAGATTGGACCGTCATTTGAGTCGTCCTCGACGTAGAGACAAATTGGATCGTGCCCGACAGTAGACCAGCCTCAGACCCAGTCCAGAACACCTATAAATTTTTATTCATCAAACTTGAATAAAGGTTCAAAATTCAATAAGTTGTGATTTTGTTACCTTTGATTTTGTTACCTTTGATTGTGAAAGTGAATTTATAGTAGGAGAGTAACTCCAATTTTAGATTTGATCAAAAGCAGACTGTGATTTTATGGTTTGCGATTTTCCCAAATTTGGGGTTTAGGGTTCTTTGGCCATGTTTTGATTATTTACCATTCACAAACTCACACGGTTCACTATTTATATTAAAAGAAAAGTTATTAGAAATTTAGAAACTAAAGTAACAAGTAATAACGGTTTGGTTCACAACCAGTTTAAGATTGGTTAATTTCTAATCAGTTCGATTCTAGAACCGTTACTAAAACAAAGGTTTGGTTCACTAACCAAATATAATACTAACTGTTCGGTTTGGTTCAATGGTTTTTTTAACCGTCCTAGTTCAAACTATACATGAACAATAATTACCGGTTTGAATAACAGCAATATATCAACATAAGAAAGCAAGATATATGATCCAATAGATCGTGATCATTGCATTATTAGTAAGTAAACTCCTATAAACGATATTGCAAAAGATTTACCAGTCTAGAAACAAAATATATTGGACTGAAAAATGCAGTTCTATTATAAGTATGGGGAACAAAATATAGAGGGGGCAATATATAACTGTTTAACACAATATTCCTGAAAAATAATTGGGTAGTAGGAAGAAATGTCTATGCATCCCCAAGGGGATCCAGTTTTTCTCATGTCTTGGCTCCCTTAATATAAAAGGTAAAAGGTTTCTATACCAGAAAGTCAGATCCAGGTCCAACCTTCTCAGAAGTAACGCAGGATAGTTTTTTTTTTTTCATAATCTGTCTACAAAAAGTAGGCACCGCCTACTTTATGTAGGGTTCCTACAAAACTGAACAAATTTTGATAGTCCTATATGAGGAAGACAATTCATGGCCACACAATCCAGGTTTACGAAGTCTAGCTAAGCACAATCACCAAATTTTGTTTTTGAGCCAGAAAAGCAGAAAGACAACTCCAAAAACAATAGCAACAGGGGCCCATTTTCGAATCAGAGCCTGCAGCAAATATTTCATTTTAAGTTATGTATTCACAATGCTGGCATAGAGTATAACCAAAATATATAAGGCAGAAGATTTGAAATAGTGCAGCAAATCCTAACACTAGGCAGGGTTATATCATCTCCATCAACTTTTTTATTATTACTAACATTGAAGGCTAACATACTTTTATTAAAGACCCATACCATTGGAATAAGAAACATGGTAAACAGGACTACGGACTCGCAATGTATATAGCAGCCACAATAACTGGAGTTGTAGTCAAAAAAATGTGACAGCTTGTTCAGTTTTGTTCTCTTTGGTTCTATCCTTTTTAGTTAAACCAAAATATATCGCTTTTTTACCCAAGACCCTTAACATGTACACAAAAAAAAAAAGAATAAAATATAACTCATATATTTAGAGTTCATGTGTTTTAGTTGTGGAATTAGCCTCTTGATAATACAAGATAAACTGTTTACAAAATAGACCCAAAATGGACTTGACCCTTACTTAGAGCCCACGGTGACTGGAGCTTTGGACAACTGGTTGCCCTAAGATTAAAATATATCCAAAGCAAAAATAGCAAAAATCTTTGACCTGCATATAGAAAACTTAAGCTTTAAAAAAGGAAAGATTGAGGGAAAAGAATGGAGGAATTTAGGTAGAGAGGGTTTTGGAGAGTTTATTTTTATTCATAATGCAAAATCCCACTAGATTTGGAGAACTACAATATTGTATTGCAGGAGGGATTCGGAGGGTTTTGAAGGGCTTAGATTAATTGTTCAAATATAATCTATGTTGTTATAATATTTCAAAAATTAAAAATATGTTAATGATAACTATTCAATTATCATTCTATACAAAATCATTCTTTCAAAACATGTTAAAGATGTTTCTATATTTTCTTCAAATTTTTGTTCTCCAAAGTCTTCCCCTCCCCTCATAACTCCCAAACAAAGCCTAAGAAAATTTATAACACTAACCTAAACATTACCTGCAAGCATCGGCCGTCCGTGCAATGTTCAAGAATTTTTACAAATTAAAAGACAAAAACATCTAATGAATGTTTTTCTATGATAGCCCATTGGGTATAGTTTTAACCAACAATCATTGCTATAGATTAACCAATGAGCACACAAACTGAAACTTGCACATAAAAAGTATATTTCAAAGGGAATACAAATGAAGAATATTTTGAAATAGCAGACAGAATGCGTCATATTTCTAATCCGTAAAATGATAAAATATAGACTCTTTTATTCTAGTTAATAGAGATATCACCAAAGGGTAAATAAAATATCATGCTTCCAATCTGTTAAGCGTTGAATAGGTAAGAGGCAATAAAATGCATAAATCATAACTGCGTGCTTCTATCTAAATTGTAAACACAAATAGCACGAACCAATTTACAACTGCATCAGGAAAGCTTCGTAGGTCATAACCAAATTAACATGCTCAATGTTCAAATAACCATGCGTCAAGACAGAAAAATTAAATGACTAACCTGTCTATTTAAATCTTTGGCCTTGTCGGCATATATGCGAGATTCTGATGATAGGCGACTGGACATTTGGCTGACCTCTGCATATTTGATTTCAAATCATATGTGGAACATAAGCTTCATAAGTCACAAAGGTAAACGAAGTAAATATACCAACATACAAACAGAAATTGCAGCCGCATGAGAAGTAGAAAAAAGAGGAAACCAACTATTAGAGATATGTTAGGGCAAGCTTAGCTTAGGCCTATTATGAATAGCTAGACTGACACGTGTCAGTTGTGTTGCATTTTACTTGCTGTAGCAGGTCAACTGGTTGTTACTATAAATACAACCAACTGCCTCCTTTTGTAACTAACACCTCAGTTAATCAAAATCAATTACAACTGAAAATGAAAGGTGTAACTACCTATTCTATTACCAACTATCAAGCTTGTGTTGGTGAAAATGTGGAACTAAGAAATTTTAGCAGAAGTTTCTGATAAAAATATTTATACTCAACAATGTATCCAAGTCAATAAAACAGGAATGGGAGATCACATGCATTTGAAGATGATGTTGTCAATATATAACCAACACCCTGTTGGAGAATCATCTTATGTTCCTTCCATTTAACAAGTAGGACAGACTTATATTACTGTTTTACTGCAGCTTCTCTTTTCAAATTATAAGAGGGTCCGAGGCATCAATAGCCTTTAATTTAACATATTAGTTATCGCTTAACTTAATACCATAGCTGCAACTTGAGAAAGAAAAAGTTAACATTTTTTATCAGAAAAGGTAAAGTTATGGCCAGGTTAAAAAGGACAGAATATTGAACATCGTCAACCTGACCTTATCAGTTTTGATGCCAAGTGTTTGATGAATCAAACTAATATAAAATTGGAATTAAGACTAGTTTACGGTAAGATCAACCAAGTAAGCAGACAAATGTATGTAAACTATTTTTAGTACAGAGCACATATAAGCCAACAAAAACACAAACATTTTACAGATCCTAACCATGCTTCATTTCTTATGAATGGATTTATTAGCCATATATCAATCAGGAAAACCCAACAGCATTGGAAGCATATATAGTTGAGGCCTATATTATGTTCAAATTCTTAGGCAATCAGCAAATTGCATAAAGAAAAACTACAATTATTCAGAAAATACAATGAATAACTTACGATCCAACTGTTCACCAACACCAAGAACTTCCTGCACATTTCGAGTCATAATCTGGTGGACTTCATAAAGTTCATCATTCAACTTTGCAATATTGCGCTGTGTATGGGTATCCTGGTAAAGTTTCTTTGTCTTCTGTATAAACGTGTCTATTAAACACTCAAAAGAAAGAAGAACAAAAAAGATGAATTAAACTACATTGGAAAAAGAGAGGAATATGCTAAATGGTACAGAGACTGATATCTACCAAACTTAATGAAGGCATAAGGTCTGGCAGCAGTTTCGATTTGAGCCCCATTAACACGCTCAAACTCATTCCTGAGCTCTTCAAGATATTGAAATGCTAGTTTCTTAGGGTATGCCCGATCACACATAGTCAAGTAACAGACCCTTCCTTCTATAATATAACTTGTTTGTGTCAAGGTCATATTGGGCTACGGAATTTTTTCAAATAAAATTAAAGCAAAAGAATACTAATTTGAAATATAATAGACCACAAAACTTCAAGATAATGAAAACAAGATCAACTTGCTAGGGAAGTAAGGTTTTGGTAAAACAATATAGCATTCCACTTTTCATATGCATGAGATATACAAAACCACCAGCTTAATTATGATTCAACTGAGATATTAGATATCAATCAAAACAAAGAAAACAGATCATAGCTTCTTACAATGAACAAAACTCTACGGTTTGCAGACCTAGCCTAAAGATATACATGTCGATAAATAAAGTAATGTCCAGTCAAGCATCTCATTCTGAGGATGGCATTCAGTGGAAGATAACAGCACCCAAAGTAACAACAAACTGTAGACAACTCCACAGTTGTACAAAATTGCCTATCATTCAATACTGCATCTGATATTTTATCAATTAATATTATTGCCTACACTACACATTATAATTGCTAGACTCAAGCCATTCTTACAAGACTACTAGACATGATATATGAGAAGGATACTGGAAAATGTAAGGACCACTTTCAACTGACATCCTCGACGCCTCATTATGCCCTCTTGATAGATTCTTAAACAACGCCTTGACTTGCTGTTTGTAAAATTCACCATCTTTAAGATCACGACCATCATCTAATCCTTCAGCTAGTGGAAGACCATCAGTAACACGAGCAATCATAGTCAACTTCACCATTTTTCTCAGTTTACAATCTCCCTCTCAAAGTCCTGAACTTTGCAACTGAACCAAACCACACTACTACATTACCAAACAAAAATACAGTTAAAAGTTAAACCTGATCGAACAGTTAAGACTCAGACAAAACTTTAAAAGTAAAACACAAATTATTTTCCTTTACTTTCCTTCATTCAATTATTAACCAAAGTACAAAAAACATAATAATTAAGTAATGAACAAATTCCTCAAATACACTACCACAAAACAGCATCAAAATCATAAATTTTGGCTCCACTAACGTGACTAAAGTGTAAAATAAGAAAATCAAAGGTTGTTATTTCAACAAACTCATATTTTTGAAAAAATAGAAAACGTACCATCAGTGTAAAATAATGTTATACTGACAACCAATCACCGACATGTATTCCGCCAAATCACGCTTAAATTTTTTTTAATTATTTTGATAACACAACAGACTGTTGGTTTTTTGTTGACAAGAGTGTAAAATTATTTTTCCACCGTCACTATATGTCCATTAAACTAAATTTTTATACTGTATATATAATATCCACCTTAGATCTGTTAATCAATGGTAAATTGAGTTGATGCCAGATCCCTAAATCATGATATACTAGTTTTTTTTTACCCTAGGTAGATTTGTAACAATTAGAAACCAAACAAAGCAAATTTCAAACTATACATTTAATTAAATCCTTGTACTACAATACAAATTTCAGAAGCTATTCTTTACATCGCAAAACATCGAAAATTGAATCCCTAAAAACCGTTCCGGAGCGATTAGAGCCAAAACTAAACGAAAATATGTAAGAGAAATCATTTGCATCGCGAATTTCAGCACTACGTCGTCGTTTCGTACAAAATATAATAGATCTAACATAACAAAAACGCAATCAAATTCAAACCTAATTTACTTCATTCAGATCTAGTGGAGTTAAATCATCATCTTCATTCCTATATAACTAACATAGATTAGTTTTTTATCTTCGAATTATGTAAGGAAAAGTGAGATTGAAGTAAAGTGGAGACGGAAAGAAAAATGTGACGGCGAAGAAACCTGAAGAAGGGAGGTGAGAAGGTGGCCGGAGCTGCGGCAGAAATCGGCGGCGATGATGGTCCAGCCGAGCCGAGCCGATCGATGAAAGTTTCGGAAGATGTTATGTTTTTACGTTGAATTGAAATGGAATGAAAATGGAGTGTGGGAATGAGAGAGAATCCAAAAACGCATGCACTTGTTTTGTGTATTGATTTTTAACTCCTTAGCAAGAGCGTTTCGATTAATTGAAATGAAAATTGCCACGTGGATTTTTCATGACATGTTAGTCTCCAATGATATGTTCTCACATGGGACATGGTGATGATGAAAAAGGTATAAAATCATACTTATACATAAATGAAATAAAATAAAAATATACTTAATATGTTACACGATCAAGCCACCTACCTCATCACGCCCTATTATAGTTCTTTAATAGTTCTCCATAAGCTTTTTGTAGTGAGAAGCATCATCATCTCTTGTTGTTTTTTTGGCTAGATTCAGAAGAGTTTTTTGGAATTGTGCATGTTGAGTCTGGAGATCTTTTACCGTTTGTTCGAGAGTCATCTTATACTGAAATAAACAGTAAATAGATGAGGAAACATGTGTTGAAAAACCTATTTATGAAATGATGCATGATATGTGTGAAGGAAAATTGCGATCAAAAGCGCAGCGGAATTTAAAATTTTCCTTTAGCGATCCTTACGAATGAACATGGTCAGTGATAGAAATATTTACCTCTTGTGGCGATTCAGACCTTTGATATTGTGATCACGAGCGTTGATGAAGAACAACGCCTCTACTCAGTCCACACGAACAGATCGCTTCCGGTCACAGTGCTAGCTGATCACGAACGAAAACCTTGAGTGAGAGAGAATCAAAAACGAAATTGCATTAAGTGAAATTGCTTCATCACAAGGGATTTATTTATAGAATCACTCGTGTGGTCTACAAGCTAAAAGCCCAATTAAGGCTATAAGCTAAAAGCCCAATTAAGCTTATGGACATCATACCTTATGATGTACCATATATCACTTATCCACGTGGTACCTTACCACTTTCCGTATTACACTTAAGTGCACCGTACCTTACGGTGTTCCTTATTTATTCTATCTCTCATCAACCTGTCCTTATGTGTGTGACCCTGTAGGTTTTCGCGACGTTGGCAATTATATTAAATCACACATTTAATATAATAAATAGTGAGCGGTATCTAGCAACACATCACTGTTACCCAAGTCACGAAAATGTCATGTGATCTGACCAAACCTTTTTCGTGATAATATTTGTGTTGTACAATTATCCTTTTGCCCTCATGTCTATATTGAACACAAGGCATACACTGTGTCACCCTTGTCCAGTTCAATATTGGGCCCTTAGACATTTATCCTGTTATGCAGGATGAGCAAATTCTATCTAGGTCACTCATGTCCCTTAGCATGCTTTGTGAAGTACCCATCAACCGTCTTTATAGTCATCCAGTTACGGATGACGTTTGATCAGCAATAAAGTACTTGACTCTACATCTAGGGTCCATAGTGGTTTCGGGTCGAAGGGTGGTATACACCATTATCATCATGAGAATAACTTATGACACTTTGCATAACATTCTATGTAGTATTCTCATAGCGGGTCAATCCAGTATAAATATTACTCCTAATATTCATACTTATGTCAAGACTTGATAACTCCTTATCTATGATCCATGAGATGTGATCATCAATCTATCTTCATAATAATCTTAATGCTTTAATGTTATCCCACTTCACATTAAAGCTTGACTACGAATACTTTAAGAATAGTGTCTTATGTTTAATGGGATCTCATGATTAAGTCACACTTAACATTTTATTAAACAAATAAACTATTCTAGAGACTTTATTATTTTGGAAAGCAAACATAATAAAGAAATGCCTTTTATTATTAATAAATAATTCGATACAAGTACCAAAAGTATTGGCCTCTAGGGCTTACACCAACAATCTCCCACTAGCACTAGAGCCAATCAGGCATACCCCCTAATACCCATAGATCTAGTATGTCCATCATGCTTCAGCTGCGCAAGAGGCTTTGTTAATGGGTCAGCAACATTGTCAAGTGTAGGTACTCTGCATATTTTCACATCTCCCCGGTCGATTATCTCTCGAATGAGATGATAACGCCTAAGTATGTGTTTGGATCGTTGGTGAGATTTAGGCTCCTTAGCTTGTGTGATAGCACCATTGTTATCACAATAGAGATCAATGGGATCCACAATGCTATGGACTATGCCAAGTTCACTAATGAACTTCTTGATCCAAACAGCTTCCTTTGCTGCAGTTGAGGCAGCAATATACTCAGCCTCGGTTGTAGAATCAGCAACTGTATCTGTCTTTGAACTTTTCCAGCTCACAGCGCCACCATTTAAACAAAACACATAACCAGATTGCGATCTAAGTCATCCTTATCTGTCTGGAAGCTAGCATCGGTGTATCCAATTACAGCAAGCTCTTCCTGACCTCCATATATCAAGAATGAGTCCTTAGTCCTTCACAAGTACTTAAGGATATTCTTGACACCTACCCAATGAGCATCACCGGGATTAGACTGGTACCTACTCGTTGCACTTAAAGAATACGAGACATCTGGTCGAGTACATAGCATGGCATACATGATAGATCCTATTGCAGATGCATATGGAATCTTATCCATGCGATCCCTTTCTTCCTTACTTGAAGGGGATTGTGTTTTTGACAGACACATGCCATGTTGCATAGGTATGAATCCTTTCTTGGAATCATGCATATTAAAGCGTCTCAACACATTTTCTATGTATGTACTCTGACTTAGGCCAAGCAGTTTTTGTGACCTATCTCTATAGATCCTGATTCCTAATATATAGGCTGCTTCACCTAGGTCCTTCATTGAAAAGCATTTCCCTAACCAAGTCTTCACTTGTTGCAAGGTAGGGACATCGTTTCCAATGAGTAATATGTCATCTACATATAATATCAGGAATATGATCATGCTCCCACTAACCTTCTTGTAGACACAAGGCTCATCTTCATTCTTGATGAATCCATATTGTTTTACTGTTTCATCAAAACGAAGATTCCAGCTTCTGGAAGCTTGCTTCAATCCATAAATTGATCGCTGTAACTTACATATCTTTTGGGCTTCTTCTGGTATGTCAAATCCTTCAGGTTGTGTCATGTACACATCCTCAAGAAGATTCCCATTAAGGAAAGCAGTTTTGACATCCATCTGCCATATTTCATAATCATGATATGCAGCGATAGCAAGTAAAATCCGAACAGATTTAAGCATTGCAACTGGTGAAAAGGTTTCATCATAGTCAACCCCATGAATTTGTTTATAGCCTTTTGCAACCAGTCTTGCCTTATAGGTATGTACCTTACCATCCATGTCAGTCTTCTTTTTGAAGACCCACTTGCATCCTATAGGGTTAACTCCTATAGGAGGCTCTACCAAGGTCCAAACCTGGTTTGTGTACATGGAATCCATTTCAGATTTCATGGCTTCTAGCCACTTCTCGGACTCAGGACCAGTTATGGCCTCTTGGTAGGTCACATGCTCATCTTGATCCATGAGTAATACATCACCCTGATCACTTATGAGATATCCATATCTCTCAGGTTGTTGACGTATCCTGCTTGACCTACGCTGGTCTTGTTCTACTTGAGCAGGTTGCTCTTCCACAACTACTTGTGTTTCCTGCTCTAATTCCTCCACAGGTGTATCAATGCTTTGTGGTTCTTGAATTTCTTCAAGCTCTATTTTCCTCCCACTGATTCTTTTGGAAATAAAATCCTTTTCCAGAAAAACTCCAGTTTGAGCGACAAACACTTTGCCCTCAGAAGGATTGTAGAAGTAATACCCTCTTGTTTCTTTAGGATACCCCACAAATAAGCATTTGTCAGATTTGGGCTCAAGCTTAGTTGAAATTTGTCGTTTCACATAAACT